TTTGCTGGCTGTAGCAGCGCTATAGCGCTGCTATAGCGCTGCACAGCAAAAACGCATAAAAACACAATGACACAAGCAAATAGGCATGATCGCGCCATGGTGCATTTTTTATTTGCACATCCAAAAACGCATTAACATTTAGTGTTACGACTATCTAATAGCAATCCTAGTGACAGGCGCTTTGCACCTGAGACAGGCAGTACAACTACAAAATAATTATGAGTATGATCTAATGAAATAAGTGGTAAAGTGACCACGATTTGGAAACGAAACAACGCCGGAGGTCATAAGCCATTAGTAACCCGCGTAGTGCCCGTTGTCGAGCAATCATCGTATTCAATGCTTTGGGACGGCAACGATGACGAGGAGGTTTCGTTTGTTGCTGATGCACCATTTACTGCCTTCTTCATGCCAAAGTCATCATGCGTTTTCTCGTAGTGCATGATTTCTTTGAATATCAACTCTGAAACGAATTCGATCCTTACTGAGTCATCAGATGGTGGTTAATGACAAATGCTCGCAATATTTCAAGAATTATTAAAATGGCTTAGGCTGCTGCTCAGCAGCACTAGTACGCCGAATAGAACAATCCTTCTATTATGAGTTGCATTGAGGATACGGAAAAAATTAGTAAATATCAAGTATTAAGAGAGAGTGGCAAAAAAGCACTTAAATCATGACAACTGCGCGGAATTTTAGTGTGAAGCTCTCCACCTATTTCATTTGAAAATGTTATGCCAGCAGGAGGAGGTCACATGCCAGCAGTAGCTAGGCCAAAGCTTCCTGGTTCTGGGGTACCGAGCTTTTAAGAAAATGAGTGTTATCCAAGTCCATCAACTGTCTACCTAGCAGGAATAGATGGACAACCAAAAACTGGTAAACAGGATGGGTAACAAACAAATGTCCGAAGATAAAGACATTACTGCACCCGACGTGAAGTTACTGCATCTCGGCTGCACTGAAAGACTAGGCGCCACTCAATAACTAATGCATTTCAAAGAACTATTCCATTTCTGATAAAGCAAGACAGTCGTTCAGCTAAACCTGTACTAATGGTGCTGTACGCATAAAGAACATCGCTGCTCAGAATATATTGCGGAAATTACCTATCAGTGAGGCATTTCCAAGAACTACAATAAACTAGATATCGCATACAAGAAAGGATAAAAAGGCTTTTTCATTTGAAAAAGTAATTTTTTGATTTTCCCATATTTCCGTAAAGATTTTAGGTTTCATTCAAAGCACTTCTTAGATTCTGGAAGCAAAAAAAGTTATTTTTTCACTCGATGTTACGCAGCCACTGTCTCTTAATTACAAACCACAAATCCGACCTGCAAAGGAAATCGATAATTTGGACTCCTTTTACCGCTCTTATAAAATCTGTTGAGACACTAACGTCAAGCAAAAAAAAATATTCGAATTTTGTGAAAAATCTAATCGAAGCGGACAACAAAATATCTCTAAACTGTGGAATCCTGAATTTCATACTGATTAGCCAACCTGAAAGCATAAAGGCTTCTTCAACAAATTTTTTTTTTGATAAAATGCATTATCACTAACTATATTCAACTGGGAACTGTACATTAACTCTAATGTATAGAGTGGTATGTTTGCAAAAAGCACAAATTATGGTCGATGGGGCATTTAACAACGATACCGATGGAGATCCGGAAAATGAACTAACAGTTGCTCCAGGCATTTCGGTTCATCAGCTCGAGAAAAAGAGAACGAGATAACCTTTCCACTGCTCGACTGTATGGTTGCTTGAATCAATATTGTGGTTGTACTGCTGCGGCGGTGGAGCGTAAACTTCAGCATCATCAAACCAAATCTTCACATATGGGTGCTTCAGTGCTTCATCCACTGATATCCGTTTTTCCGGATCGATGACTAACATTTTTGATAACAAATCACGCGCCTGCGCCGCTGAAAAACGAAGAACCATTTGAGGGCTATGCATTACGAAATCTAACAAAAAGGAATGTAAAAATAATCCAAAAACTATAACCGGTAGGTTTACACGGAGGCTCTTTACCACGTTAAGAAAACAAAGGTCGTTGTAAAATAACTGCCAGAATACTGAGCTCCTTTTTTCCTCTCAAAGCTTAAGATACAGAAAAAAGGGATTTTGGGAAAACTGGTAAGAAGCTTGTTCCATCTGAAAAAGCAAATGGCTAAAACGGATTTTTTGAAAAGGGTCAAATAGCGCGCCAGTCAGTTTGTATCGTGCTGTTCAAGCAGTTTGAGATCAATACTTTGTGAATCAAAAATGGTTTTGCTTCTGATAAAAAATCCAAAAACTTACGACAAAGAGCACTGTTGCTTGCAGGCTTTGGGAAAATGTTGTCGCTGAAAAGAATCTCGAACGGAAGCCCCGGATGCCTAGGACGATTTTCCACATAGCTCCTCACGGTTGCTTGCAATTTTTGCATGAAATCACGACCTGGAGTTCCGAGCTGTTCGATGATTTTCGACCACTGATCAATATGATCTGTACCGGGAAAAAGAACTCGACCTCGGATGAGCTCACCAAAAATACAACCAATTGACCAAATATCGACTGAAAAAACAAGTAATGTGACTGGTGGAAATCTTGCAGAAATAATGTTTAATGAAAACCTGCTAGAAACTAAGCCTGAACTATACCGCTCAGAAACAGTAAAGTGGTAGCTTCATATGAGCCAATCCAGAAAATCAAGAACCACAACCCAAGGCTGCAAGCCGCATGTTTTTGCATTAATTTCAGACAATCGAGCAGTTAACAGTGTAGTGTGCCGAACAGTCCATAACATTCTCCGACCGCCAGTCCATACTGTTACTGCCCTTTCCTTCCTGAGATTTGCAAGATCATCCTAGCGAACACCCGAAGAGATAATATTACTACTTGGTTTATACAGCGAGAAAAACTGGAGGCAGGTAATTCAGAGTGCGGCACCAGAGTGTGACTGCTTTACGAAAACACGGGAGACTCCATAACGATAGCCAGCGAAATCAAACAGTACAAGTAGCATCCTGGGAATGATCCAGCAGTGGTTGCAGCTAGAAAGAGGTAAAGCACGGTATAGGATTTGTCCTGGACAAGTATTATCAATTCAAAGAATTTTAGCACAAATGGAACAAACCATTATCTGTGTATCCCATCCCAAGTATTACTTCCGGTGCACGATAATAACGTGTGACAACATACGGTGTCATCATAAATGAATCACCAGCATTTCGCGCCAATCCAAAATCCAAAATTTTCAGACTACAATCACTTTTAACAACGATATTGCTTGGCTTGAGATCCTGAAACCAACAAATTCATTAGATGATCAATACATTCAACGAAGAGCCCTCGATGTCTCTGAAATGCATCGACACGCTGAGCCGGGTTATCCCGCCCAAGACTACTTAAATGCACACGCGCGCACGTTCTTGTCTTCAATTCATAGGCCTATAATTTTTTTCTGATCATATCATGCGTTTTTTTCTACTTCACCATCTCTGGAAAAAACAAATGTTTCCCTCCAGTAAAAATTTACACCTGAATAGCAGCATTTTACCTTAAGCCTACTTTTTGATGCGAAACAGCTAACTGAAGCTTTTTCCAAATTCGTTTCAGCATCGAACCCAAGAGTAGCAACTTCCTTGCTATTTAGTTTAATCTGATCTGTTAAGATAAAAAAAGATGTAAAAAACTGAGCTTAGGGAAACAGAATTATAGGCACCTGGTGTAAAAATATAGAAAAAAGAACACTAGCTTGCACTTTAGTGAGCTAAGAAGCAGGGAAAATCCGAAAATTATTAACGGTTGGCAAGAACTGGGAGCAAGCGCACCTTCTGAGCTAGAAGATGAGCTGCTGATTTCAAGCCCTTGAAGCTAGAACTCTTCTTGCTGGTAGAGAACAAGTACGGAAAATCTTCCCAAGCAACCTCTGCTTCTTTTGGCTTTCCTGACATGTTCACTGCTAAATTCAACAAGACACTACCAGCACTTCATTTGTCATCCTTCTACATACGATGGCAGTGCCGAGATGGAAAGTTTCAAAATCCAAAGGCTTTCTTTGCATATGAAAGGAAAAATTGGCTTCGTTTCAGACATTTGTATCTTTCTGAAGAACGCAATACTTGTTAGAGTTACAACAAAAAACACTGTACCCACCCGGTGAATGATGCCCGCGGCGTGTAAATGCCTGATTCCACATAAAATCTGATATAATAAATAAGACATTCGTTCGTGATCCAAATCCATTTGTATTACTTGACACAAATTAGCATCCATGAGTTCCATTACTATATACAAATCGGAAAATTCTTCAAGCGTTTTCTGAGGCGTAAAAGCATTCAGCAATCCAATTATCTGCAAATCCGCATGATAACGCTGGTTAAATATTAGTGCGTCAGAAGCCTTAGCATAACGTGAACTGAAACAGTGCTCCGCAGTATACAGAACAAAAACAATGTTTGCTTTAATATTTACACTAACAAAATGAGAAAAAATCAATCAGTTGGGGCAAAAGCAATCCAGTGAGAACACTAAGTTTAGCCGAAGATGCAAATTTAGCAGAAGCTGCGAAAAGCTTGGTCCAGAAAAATTGGCTTAAAAGTGTCTGCTGTATTAGGAGGAGGAAGAGAAAGCAAGTCTGGGAGCGAGCTAGAAAGGGCAATTACGATTCATAGGGAGCAGAAACCCTAATTTTGGATATTTTGAGAAAAAAATGCTAACATTCTTATGATTGACAAGGTTCATTAACTTGAATTCCCGATAAGCTCGTTTGGCATGTGTTACGTTCTGGAATGGGCGGCTCAACTTCTTGATCGCCACCTGCTCACCACGCAGTGTATCATACGCTGCACTGCAAATTCATATAGATTTAGACTTTAATTACTTTAATACAAAAGTCAACTAACAACAACTTGGTTGGCAGCTCCTCTAAGACTGCTCTGACCAAAATTGCATCATGCAGCGGTCAGCCCTCTTTTTACTCTGGCTTTCACTTCTCCTTTCTCATGCTTCCGGATAAAAATACTAAATGAATGGCACTCCTTCTGCCACTTATCCGGTCTTTCAACCTACTTGTAAACGCTTTCCTTCAGCGCCCCATAACGATCGCTGCTCAATGGATGCCGTTGACAGGGAAGAGTCGTACAGGAACTTCCAAGAAAACACAGTGCGCATGCACTGATGTCCTGAGTTACAATGGGAGATTATCCAGTAGCATCCGCTTTCTACATCATAAATTAATTTTGAAACTCCATGCCAAACACCATGTGTTTCTACAGAAGAAAAAGATACTGCTCATTTCAAATGCAACTAATCTACGTCATGTATCAGTGAACACCATGGACAAGATAGAAAACGACTAAATGAAAGTCCTAGAAGGGGTGCAACGCTAATAGCTAAATGAAGCATTTCGTATTTTTAAGCATAAATCTATATAGCGCTTATTCAGTAAGTATTGCTCACCAGTGCTTTATTTTAGAGAACAGCAATTGCTTAGCTGTGTTCTAAAGCAGCATGCCTTATATCAGACGACTTATTTTTTGGAAAGATTACATGGCTGAGAAAATCAGTACGTTCAAATGCTTTTACTCCTTTTTGAAGGCGTGTGAATAGGTTGGTGACCACTGCAAAATCACTTTTTTTTGCCAGCATGATGGCGTTAATTGAGAATGGGCGGCGTACCTCATCATGGTTTGGCAATGTTCGGAACGAAGCAATGATGTTCAGCATGCATCAGTGACATATCAGACTGCTCAAAGCCTGCGGAATACTTCCGTCGAGAAAATCACTAACTGTTAACTTCTACAGGACACAAAACAAGCGTGATGATCACTATTAGACTAATCATCAGGCGATGCAGCATTGGTCAAAACATTATGGAAGTGGAAAGATTGTCAGATGCATAAACGAATGAGTTAATAGCTATTCCAGGTATTATGGCTACAACCTACCAAACAGTCCCCATCTACTTCGTTCTGAAGATACAACAACAGTCTTAAATTGAACCCGAGCTCAATGTCCAAAACAGCTGAGACAAACGAAATAACTGCAGACCATTTGCTTTGTACTTTAAGTTTATAG